AAACCAACTTGGAGAATTGGCCTTGGTGGAGTGGGTCTTGGAACCGAACTTACATTAGAATAAATTCCAAAATACTTTGAAGATGTAAATCTTTGAACCCAAGCACTCATGGTTACAAAGGCCATGGTCTCAATTGACCATTAAGTCACTTAAATGATTTGATCTTTTTTTTTCATTTTAATATTTGAACGTGTATGATAAGTAACGTAAAAGGTAACATTTACAAAATTTAAATTATAATGATATGCTTTGAACCATATATTAATATATATTGATAATCAATGTATTAATATATTAATATATTATTATTATTGAAAATCAAGTTTTTGAACAACTTGTTCTTTTTTTTTTTGAGGGKAAGGGGAAGGGGGAGTAAAGAAAGAATAAATTCCATAAATAGATCCCAGAACTGATCCAATTGACCCCAAAACCGCCAAAGCTAGAACCAACCCTGGAACTGACTTTCATAGATTAGGTTTTCCTACATTTCCCTTCCTTTCTCTACCCTTTCCTTCAAACTAAATATAGCCTAATTGAACCTTAATGCACCCTACTCAATCTCCCTACAAATGTGTAATGTGTAATGAAAAGAAAAGAAATAGATTGTGAATTTTGAGCCAATGATTGATAAACACGTAGAGAAAGCACTCTCATTGGATCAACACCCATAAAATGAAAAGAGAATGATGGCCTATATCCAGGCTAGGGTTTAAAACTAGTGGTGGCCAAAATGAAAAGAAAATTTCATGTACACAGTCACTTAAATTACTGTAATAGGGATAGAAAGGAGAGTTTCTATGTCTGATCTGTCTGAAAGGAGAGTTTCTATGTCTGAAACGGAGAGATACGCACTCTTAAAAAGTTTTGCAACTTGTGTTGTTGATAGGAATAAAGATGTCTTCTCTAATAGAATTGTAAAATCAGTCAAATCTACTTTTGGTCCAGTGGGTGCAAATCGGGTCTCAAGTTCTTGATAAGGGAAATGGGGAATGAATGATTCATTTTTTAAGTCTTCTGAGTGTCATTATGTGGTCTTTTTTCAAACATGGAGCACTTTGGTATATGCCTGGTCTGATTAGTGATATCAATGGGTTAGGTCTAGTCGAGGTCTGGGTAGATCCGGTCCCAATCCCGTAAGTAAATGTGCAGAATCAATTCCAATCAGGGCAATTGGGTTTAATCTGATAAGACCCGGTTATGATTGACGGTTGTGATTTGACACTAAACTTACATATTGATTTGAAACAACCAAAATGATCACAACCCAATTGTAATTCCGAGAAGTACATTAAAACCCACTACAGAATTCTGAAATTACAGCCCCCTATAGTGTATTATTACCTTTCTTATAAACAGGCATCCTGCCCGTGGAATAAGTAGCAATCCACAGTCAGGATTCATCCCACCTGTATAGTGGGCTAAGAATTCTTAAGTGGGCTGAACAGTCATTCTCCCATTATAATTTGAAATATTTATATAGACCCAGAGTCCCAAACCCTTTATAATTGGGTTGAAGTTGCCAAATAACCTGCGGGTAAAGTCTCTAGGAATGAAGATGGTTATAATCATAGTTTTTAAAAACGAACCGGTAATCGAATCGGTCAAGGGTCCAGTTATCGATTCAAATGGTTCGAATAATTAATCGGCCAATTTAGCAATTCGCTGATCAAAATCAACGATTTTGAGAGAAAAAGCAAATTTGGAGGAAAACGACCGGTTTTTCCGGTCCGATTTTAAAAACAGTGGTTATAATAGAGGGGTTTACTTCTGCTATCACAGTTGTAACACAGGACTAAAACAGAAAATCATAGCCTTGGATTATACTGTAGTGGCCCCACCAAAAAGTCAGTTCATCTAATTTAAGGTGGGGCCTGACAGCAAATCAAAAGCTTTGATTTATTTGTTTGAGCATAGGGCTACAACACTTCGTAACAAATGTGGATTGATAACAGTTCATCAATTTAAGGGTTCGGGAAGGGCTGGTCGGATTGGATCTGTTGGATCTGCCCGCCCCATTAACTGCCCTGGATCTCCAATTTGATAGCATGAGTCTAATTTAATCTAGTTTCATCATCCCACTCGGGTTTGGTATGTGTTTGTCTCTAATTTCTCTTCCTCGCACCCACACCACAAAATAAATAAAGGTCAATATTTAATTAAGAAATCCTAAGGATGGAAGAATGTTGCCCATAAATTGATGAGGACAGTCCACTGTAATGAAGCTTTTGATCTTTTCGCACTGAAAATAGATTTTTCAGTTACTATTAACAGTCTAGTAGACCATGAGGCAAATCAAACAGTCTTGATCTTTAAGATAAGACCTCAAAAGCTCAATACATCTTATCGTCATTCAGTTGCTAAAAGAACTATCTAGAAAAACTTGGCAAATAGTCTCTTAATATCTTAAGAGATATTTAATGAGCATTGAATCATCAATCATCATCCTTTGAAAGTATAATATGGATAATTGTGAGGAATCAATGATGTGTTTCCATGCGAGTAATAAATTCATGGGCCAGAACCACTGTAAAAATGTAGGCTCCATGTATTTAAATATTGACGTGAAACCTTATCATTGGTTCTACGACCTGCTGAACAAATAAAACGTTCAGCTAAACCTTGCTCAATTGTGAGGGGTTCATAGTTCATTCTTAGCCAAAACAATGAAGAACAAAAATATATATGTGTCCTTTTCTTAATGGATTAATTAACACTTTAAATTTTATGAAAAATATCTTAATGTATAATTATTATTAATGAAGAACTCCAAATCTATTCAAGTGTTAATACATAGATTCTTTGTTTCTTGCAAGTGAACACCTCTTAGTTGGTCACAAACCTAAGATACATTTTTATAAAAGAAATAAATTCATACTAAATACAAATACAAGAAATTTGATTGTTGATTAATTATTTGTAATAAAAAATTTTAAATAACCAAATTAGGTGTATAATCAGATAAGGGTGCATGCAACTTGGATCGGGTTAAATCAAACCCAATTCCAAAAAATAAACCCAACTTAACTTCAGGTAGTTGAGGCCTTGGATATGCATGTACGTATTAATAATTAGTTGCAAAAATCTTCTAATGTGAATTGGACTACAATGTCATAAAGACTTGCAACCAATCAACTGGCATAACTAACCAATCATACGGGTTTTAAGCAAAATTTACGGTGAATTTTGATTGGTCAAAGCTTTTTCAATATCTTATCATAATTTTTTTCCATGATAGTACCAAAAAATCATCGTATCTTTACTATAAGAACATTTCTAACGAGATGAAATAAAAAAAAAAAAAAAAAAAAACTGAAACAATCCGAATCGAACCGAACCCAACTTGCAAGCTGAGCCGAAGAAACGCTACCTAACCCGGCCCGATATGTTGCCAATAAGGCCACGTGTGATAATAAGATTCCTACTGTGTTAAATAAGAGCGCAAAATTAGGGTGCTTTTGATAGTGGGATATTTTAGGTGGTATTAATCATTTTATGATGGGATTGGGCTTTGACCGCCACGTGTGATTATATTAACGCTCGAATCCCACGTCCGGTTGGCCCACATCCAGGACCCTCTTGTCGTATCGTATACAACACGTGGCATCGATAAGCGAGTTAGAATCTTGAAAATCCACGTCAACGTCGCTGACGTGGTTCCCGGCAGATTATCTTTGACACGAACCAAAATCTCTCTTTTACTCACTCACTCACATCTGACACTCTCCCTGCGTGCGACAGCTGGTGATGTCAGCTTCACCGCGACAGTGCCCGACACGTCGCTCTCGCAAGTTGATGCCTGCTGCTTCGCTGTGGACCCCACCCATTCCATCGACACGTGGAGCTTCGCTAGCTTTCTCGACACGTGTTCCCCTATTCCTATAGCTGTACCTGCTATACAAAAAGTGCAACTTGCCCCGCCTGGGTCCCACCTTCGCGACCAGGGGGCCAGGACACGCGTTCCCTCTGGCTTTGGGACCACCTATGACCTATCCCCCTCCCTCACCCTTCCTCGTTGATTCTTTTCCACGACCCATTTCCTTTCAGCTATTTCCTCGTGGATTTCGTTTTTACCTTTCGTTGACGAGAGTCAATGATTGTCTGATCTCAGCCGTTGGTGTTGACAATCACATCATACATGAATCGTCGTCGCTACGATCGGTGGACATTGGACAATCTAAGATCTACTCAGAAATGCCATAGAACGTCTATAGCAGATAAGTTAGTCCTTTGTTTGCGACGCATACAAGGCGCACGTTAGCAGGTCCTATTCGAATCGGATTCGCCACGATCCTCGGCAGGGGATGATTCCTCGGTCGAAGAGACACGAGCGGAAAGTCGGAAACTGCTAGCCAAGGTTTTCGCCACTTGTCAAATTTTGATGCCGTAACAACGCATATCTCTGGCAGTCGGGCTCCACTGCGTTTCGACTCGAACAAAAATTCCCCCGAGTCACACAGTTGTTTAACACGGGAAGAAATCTAAACCTTTAAAAACGGGCAAAGAAGAGTGAGTGAAGAGCCAGTGAAGTAGGGTACTTTAGAGAAGCTCTCGACGGTATCGAATTTGGGTAAAGCAAAACTAAACTCCACGTGTCGTAATGTGGGTGGACCCGAAGGAAAATCTCTTCGAGTCCGACCGCACCGGATCCGGCGCGTAGTTCTGGAAGACAGCTAAGAGGAGAGAGAAAAAGACGTCGCGGCTTTACAATGCCGGGACTACCAGACTCTTATCGACAGATGCCAGTCTCTGCGCTTTCCTTACATTCCCTGATTGACACGTGTTATCACCGCAGCCTATCCTACTGACACCAACCTCTAAAGTTAGCGGTGGCGACGCATGTTTGGCGTCTCCCCTAAATATGGCGCCAAAACCACGTGTCAATGAGAAACTTCATCATCAGCCACGTGTCGAATATGGGCGACTTTCCTCGTTTTAAGTGAGGGCATTTTCGTGATTTCGGGATTTTCGGAGTACTAAACTCTCTTTTTTCTGCTTTTGTGTCTCTTGCTTTTACCTTTTTTTTCGTTCTCTGCTCCTATTATCTTGTGTTTCCGGCATCTTCTCTCATGGCTTCCTGTGTTTCTCCGGCTAGTCTGTTGTGATTCCGCCGGATAATTTATAATTCCGGTTTCTCAGCTTCGTACTAGTCCGTCGGATAAGGCTTTTAACCGAAACATGAACGTGTGGGATTTTCTGGGATTTGTCCTTGGCTATCTGATTTCTTTATGAGCTTTCATTATCTCTGCCTGCCATGGTTTCTCTGCTGCGTGGCCTGCTTTGCGCTTCTTTTATGAGGACTTGCGAATGTAGCTTCCAAATTTCTTTAATCTGACTTCTTCATATCGTATAAAAGGCTTCCTAGCTTTGGCAGAAAAAAAAAAAAAGATTGACAGAAGAGTCTTGAGACTCTTGGTTTCATATTTCTTCATCGTGTGGCATGGGTGAAGCAAGGCGAACTGAATCTGGGGAAATCGGGCACCTTTCTATGCAAATGAATGTATATCCGAGGGATCTGTTGAAGAGATTCTCGGCTGTGAATTGCGGGCCAACGGAGTTTTCTGAGGCAGGAGAAGACACTGAAGAGGTCGAGCTAAACCTCGAGCTTTCTTTGGGTGGTTGCTTTGGGGTAGACCCAAGAGAGAAGAGGCTCGTCCGGTCGTCATCGATCACCGGCTTAACGACTCTGGCGAGAGACGAAGATGAGGTAGCTCCTCCTCCTGTTGGGTGTTCCGCTCTTACAAGGACATGTTGTCCGCACACGGAGAACGAAGAAGAGCGCATTATGAGAAAAGAGTTACAGTGTATTAGGAGGATGGAAGCAAAGAGAAAGCGATCAGAGAAGCAAAGAAATTTCAAGACAGGTAAGGATCGAACATTTTCTGAGGGAAATTGCGAGGAAGATAAGCCCTTAGACGACGAAGCTCTGACGTCCATGAATTTAAAAGAGACGGTTGAGGGTGTTCCTAGCTACCAGGGTTTTGCAGGCAATACTACTGTATCAAACCAGCAGCAGCAGAAGCAGCAACAACAGCAATATATGATGCCAAATGGCTTCACTCAGTCTGTGGCACCACCTCTTGGGCTACCCACTAGGCCTGCCGCTTCCCATCCACATGGAATCGATACAAGCATGAATGGTAAAGGTAATGTTTTGGCTGCCGGCGCCGCTGCTGCTTTAAGAGGATGCCCACCTCCGTCCTCACAGGGGTCGCTCGGATCGCAGGGGAGCAGCTCTTCTGGGATTTCTGATTTCGAGGGCGGACAAGTCCAAGGTACTGCATTTTTCTTCCACTTTTACTGGGTCTTAATCTATTTGTTCGTTAAAGCATTTATTTCTTCTTTGTAAGATTGGGATCGTAGTAGTTAAGTGTTTCTCAARCATTTCTTCTTTTCTGGCGAAGTTCTGCTTAGAGAGTAACGCTTGCCTAACTCGATATTTGGTTATATGTTTCTCTGTCCAGACAGCATTTGCTTTAAGTTTATTGTTTCAGGAATTTCAGTTCTTGTCTTTTGAAAGAAAGGAAAAATTACAGAAAATTGATTGTGTTTGCTCTATTTCTTGCAATTTATATGCTGTTGTTGAAGGCTTCGTTGTTATCTGTTATGCAAATTAAGGTCTTCTGTTTCTATGAAATTTTTCTTCAAATGAACTGGAGCAAGCATGAAGGAGACTTCATCTATTTTATTTTAAAAGGACCTTGTGTGGCAGAATTTATGTAATTTTTCCTAGTTCTCATCCCTATTACTGTGCATGTGTCTATAATTGTTGGATTTTTGTTGCTTTTATTTTGCGTTTTCGTATTTAGATCTGTAGAATCATTTAGATTTTTTTTTTTGAATTTTAGAGACCATTGCTTAGTGTGGTGGTAAAATCTTGGGTCGGAAAGTGTGAAAATGTGGGTTCAAAAGTTGGAGAGTGCCACTTTGTGCCAAAAAATGCCAAAAGTTAGATCGGTATTCARTGCACTCCTCCTCCCAAGATCCCAGATAGCTGGGAGCCTGGGACCAACCTTGGCTAATGGCCTCCCCTGGTTTTTTACTGTCATCCTTGATTCTGTGTTCTTGTGTGTGTGTGTACAAAGACCACTAAAATAATCTCCTCATCTATCCAAGAACATTTATTCCTTCCACACCTGAACTAGGGTTTCAAAAGGAACTTAAGTTGAATGTTTCTTATTCTTTAGTGCCATGTGTAAATACACTGTGAGGCCAATGCAAATATCAGCAATATACAGTAAAGGTGATGCCTGGGTCCTTCATTTTATCTTAAGGGTCCAATGTTGAAAGTTGAAACAACACATAAGACGGGTTTCAGTATGGGCTATGTGTTGTATCCTTCATTGAGCACAAGAAGTTGGGCATTGACCCAGGTATTGTTACAAAAATACTGTAGTTAGAAGGGTCTCCACTCCTAGACACACTCTGTAGACGTCTAAATCTTCAGACATAGATGTTGTGCCCATTTTGCTGAATCATTGCGTTGTGGTATATAACCCAGGTGAGGGGAGTACATTGTTTAAACTTCATCTGTTGTTTACAAGGGTCTCCACTCTGAGACTTATCAAAATCTCCACTCCGAAGCTTGATGTGCTTCTTTTCCAGCAGGTTTCTGTTTGCAGTCACTGTTTCTATCTTATGTATGTATAAAGAGGACAACAAAAATAAGGAACAGATTGTTTGATTCTGAACATCAAAAACGGATCCATAAATGTATCGCTTTGAAGTTTGAACATAAAAGCAAAAAATATAGGTACATATATACACTAGGCAAGTGCTCATGATACAGCTTTCCTGCTCAAGTTACATTTTGTGGGTTGGGGGCAGGGGTTGAACTAGCTGTTATTATTTTCTTACTTCTTGTCGGTGGATTGCAGGATTGAGCAGTTGCAGTGAAGCAAGAAGTCCTACCAGCATCCAATCTTTGCCGGAGCATGGTGAGCAGAAAACCACAGCCAGCCCTGGGAAGACAATGACTGAAACATCCGGCATGTCTTCTGGAATTGGAACGGAGGCATCTAAGAACTCAAATGTGGTTGAGAATGGAGTGAGGGAGGTCGGGAGGAATATGATGGAAGATATGCCTTGYGTCTCCACCAGAGGAGATGGCCACAATGGGAGGCGAATAGAGGGGTTTCTCTACAAGTACAGGAAGGGGGAGGAGGTTAGGATAGTTTGTGTATGCCATGGCAGCTTTCTTTCTCCAGCAGAGTTTGTTAAGCACGCTGGTGGTGGTGATGTGACGCACCCCCTAAGGCATATAGTTGTCAACCCTTCCCCTTCTTCTCTTTTGTGATGGTGGAGTCTTTCTCACCTCAAGGAAAACAAAAAGGGAAAGAGAGGGAAAAAAATGATAAAGGGTTTGATAGAAGGGGACTTTTTATTGTGTTCGAGTGCATGATTGACTCTTCTTGTTGGAAAACAGAATGTTTGAAGTGCAAAGAAGAGATTTTCACATGTACCTTGGCTTTGATTTGTTTTTCCTCTTTCCCTTCTTTTCCCTTTTCTCCTCCCTTTCTGTGATCCCTTGAACGTTTAAAGCAAATTCATATGGACATTTCTCTGGTGGTGGTTGTGACCTCCAGTTTCTTGGATTTGATTTGGTGGGTGGGCATCTAAAATCTAGAGCATGTGCCACTGAATTGCAAAGAGAGGATGCTAGCCAGATAGGCTAATTATTCCCAATAATAAGTGGCGTATTGGTTAGTACCAGATAGACTAAGAACATAATTATCAAAAAAAAAAAAAAATTAAGAACAGATGTGCTTGTTGTTGACTTGGCACATTGGTTGTTGCTGTCTGTTGGACAAGTGTACAAGTGAACTAACTCTTTTTTCGGATGGTGACTCACCAACATCATCAATTCATCATCTAAGCCTTGTCTTAGTCTGGATTACATGGGTTGGCTACATGAATCCTGTTTTGCCTTGGCTTGTACTCCTAATCTGCTACCTCCACACCCATGGAACCAAGGTTCAAAGTATCGGCCTGTATCGGCCGATATATATTTGTTTCGAGAGCTCTTCAATATAGCCTTATAGGGGTGTATCGKGGTTTTGACCGGTTTAGGAGGTGGAGGAGTTTTAAACTGGCTCCCTTTAACTGGTTCTGAAGAAAAAAAAAAGTACCGATATGGCCACTGCCGTGTATTAGAAACATCTTTTTATGAATGATAAGGGAGATATTTCAATGCACATCTCCTCATGAATAATGATAAGGGAGATAATATTCCAATGCCTTTATAATAAGGGAGATATTCCAAAGCTGGCTTTCTAATTGTATATATTCTGTGCCTTGTCTCAATTACAAGCACTTAACTCATCAATCTTTGTTTTGAATTCATCAACTCAATCTATGTTAATTAGGATCTTCTGCCAACAAAACAGCTCCCAATCCTCTATCAATTTGATCTAACACTGCAAATTTCACCGTGAGATTGTGATCCAACATAAAAATGAGACCTATGTGTGAGATCATATTGGTAGAGGGTTGACATATCAATAATCAAATGCAAGAAATCCCAATTCACCAAGAAAAAGGGTGAGAAAGGGAAGCAGTAGAATGGGTGGATGGCATTTTTCAAAGGGTCTTCTCACTTCTGGGGAATTGAGTCATCTTTTAAGCTTTTTAAATGTCTGCCCCAAAACAAGAAAATCAACTTTTTTAAAAATGGCCTCCCACTGGGCCAGTCCATATTGGGAGAAGTAACACTTTTTTTTGGCTATCTATGGTTGTCGTGTGCGGTCAAATGTTTCTTTCCTCCCCCTTTTTCTTTAACATGGACGTATGAGGTATGATTGTATTGAGGAAGAATTTCGTCGAACACCTTGTAGGCTTAACACTGTATGAGGAAGAAGAAAATGGTTTCGAGAACTCACAACTCACAAAGCCATTCTGCAATAATCTGACCAAACCTACCAAGCTTATCGAGATTACAATCCTATTCGTGCCTGATGTAACCGTTTTTGGTCACGTACCATTTTTTGGGATGTGTAAAATTTTTTGGCTAAGTACCTCGTGTTTGACCTGGTGGTGACGTGCCTTGGTGATRAGCTACTTGGTGGCGAACTTCCCGGGGGAGAACTGCCTGGTGGCGAACTGCTCGGTGGCGAACTGCCCGGTGGC